TTTACTACCATGCAAATGTTTTACAATTAAACCAGGCAGCTTTTTATCTCTCAACACAGTTTGTTTTGATGGGAACTGACGACAGCGAAATGAGAAGCTAAGACATTGAAAAAACTACTCGTATAAAGTGTTATAGTTTTTGAAATGAGAAGTTTAATGTAAAAGTTTAATGAAATTAACTTATTAGATCTGGAAAACGAAACTGACGACGCCCTAGCTAAATCGTTCTTTGCCGTCCGGGTACAGGTTAAAACACGTACCTGTGGTATTCTCCACAACGATCACCTTGTTGGTCACAGTGTCGCTAAGTGACAGCAGGTCGCTTTTTGACATGAGCTTCAGGATCACTGAACATCCCACCCGCTCCGTCTCTGACAGTCCAGACATCTTTGATTCCCACTCCTGTCCTGCTGTGAAAACAGACCGTGCGGGAACAAGCAACAGTCGGGAACAATCGTTCCGCGCTGAGCCGCAGTTCCTCCAGTGAGCAGGACAGAAGGATGAGCTGTGCTGCATTTGTGGTTGTAGGGAATTTTGGTTTCTTAAATAGCCTCGCACGTGTATGGCTTATTTACTTTCCTCTGGTCATATTTATGGATTTATGGATCCATGTTGAGACTCCCCTGGTTGCATCTGAGGAGGAAAGAGAATTACAGTTTTTACACATTGCAGAATTTTGCTCATTGTATCGAAAGCAGACACGACATTTGGAGTTAAGCCTCTCACAATCCATGTTAAAGTAAAACCCTGCAATCAAAACCTAACAATCCTTCATTTCAAAATGAATCAGTGTTTAAGATTTGTCTTCACATTAACAGTATACACCCATCACATGGTAATGGAAGTTCCAGTTCATGGGTGAACAGATGTTGCCTGGCTGTTCTGTTAAAAAAGCAAGAACCTGAGGTCATTTGTAAGGTTCTTTTTTACTCTGTCATACTGTACGCAACAAAACTGTATCGCTTGTATCTCACAGCATATTAACTATAAATTAGATATTATATATTTTTTGTACAATACGGATCAAACACCTACTTTTTTCCTGAAATTGCCAAACACATAACCCCATCCTCTAACGAAATTGTCATAAACAACTTTATTGAATCAATCACTAAATTGGCAAAACCATAAAACCATTCTCATTCAAGACACAGCAGTTTGTTCTTGCATTGCTATTTAATTTTGTGTCTTCCTACTTGCTGTTGTTTGCTCTTATTTGACATTGTGTTTTCTCATTCGCTCTTTTGTTTTATTTGCTTTTGTGTTTCGTGATCTGGCCTTGGTCACTTGCATTTCTGTGTTAGACTTGTTAACCGTACGAGGTGGTCCTGAAGGCATCGCGGGGACAGCAGCCATGAAGCAGTCCCTCCGCTCGGAGCCTCAGTAACAGTGATGATGAGACACTTTGTTCGGCAGCTTCTTCATGTCGCTGCAGAACAACACCAGGCTCATTCAATCCGCTGCTACATGAGCTAATAGGTTTGAATAATCCGGAACAAGAGGATCGGTGGCTTCATTTTGTTTTCCCGTTTCAAGCTGCGGAGCCAAACACAGAGAGGTAACGAAACATTCCTGTTGTTATCGTTTGCTAACATATTCGCATTAGCACAGTTTAGCTCCTTCAGGGAACAGCTGTCAATGTTTAACCTTAAATGGTGACTCTCGTGGTCTGTAAAGATTTATTCTGTGCTTGTGTTGTCTCTGGTATTCCTGTTCAGTTATTCAAACACATCCCATTCAGAACTCCATTTACAAAATTGGGAATTTAATTTAGACGCACTGTTTTTAAAGGTTCGTCTTCTTTTATATTAATTGAAATGCTTTTTCCTGCAACTATATCACTCTATGAATCGGGTTATTGAACAAAAAAAATAGTAAAAAAGCAATTTTCTTTAAGACAGGACATATATACTTTAAATGCTCTGTAGCTGCTAATCACCTCATATTACAATATAAGGCCTGTTATGGAATTTTTTATGGTTTAGTGCTTTTTTGTTGTTTCAGTTTCTTTTCTTTCTCTTAGCATGCATTGTCTTATTTTTGGGGCTCCAGAAAAAACTCTGTTCCTTCTTTCCGCCATATTTCCCTCACAGGGCCAAACATCACAAAGACAAAAACACAAAGTACCACAAAGAGCCACAAGTTGTAAAACAAGCTGGTACATGAAATCAAGGGCAACCTAAACAAGTACCACAAACAATGCTGAATAAAAATGCATTTGTAATTTTTTGTTTCGAACCGCAGCCACACTCTGAGCAACAACTGCTGCCGTAAAATGAGGTTTCAGTTCAACACCATCACAGCTTTTCATGATGTAGTTTTGATGTTTTCTTGCTTCATCTTCACCAATGTATTTTGACCTAAACCTCCCCTGCCCTGCATTTAAAGAGAATTGGTTCAAATTTGTGTTAAAATGAAGAAAGACACAACCTGAAGGGTTTTTGGTGTATTTTTTATTTTATTTCCTCAGTGACTAGAAATTTTGCTGTGTGTGAAATCTGCAGTGCACTTGATCCTTCGGCACCAGCCACTCTATCTTGCTTCTTTATCATCAATTCAAGTCACAAGAGCATCATGAAAAAGACACACAGATGTAACAAAGTCATTTTCCATTAACAAAAAGTATTAAAAAAAAAACAAAGACAAAAAAAGACCTTGAAACAATGATCACCATTATCATCAAATAACAATAAATAAAGAGCTCTCTTCCCTGTACAGAGATATATCTTAATCTAAAATCTTTTTGTAATAAAAAATAGATCTTCAGTGCATTTCCTTTGACAAGTTTTCTGTTACTCCTTCAAATATTTCCACCGTTACTCTTGGTTACCCTGGCGTTAAAGCAATGGCCTTTAGAACATAAACAATCAAAACACCAAACATGAACCCTCCTGAACAACACAAAAAGAAAGCAGATATAAAATTTCACAGCCTTCTCTTTGTTTGTCTGTACTGTACATGTCAAAAACACAAACCTGGACAGAAAAGGCACAAGTAACTTGAGTAATACTGGACAAACAGAAAAAATTGAATAATTTGTCTTTCAAGATTTTGGTCATTTACNTTCAGGAATTTCCATGCATGTTTATTAGTGAGGTATTGGATCCTGATTGTATTACAATAGCTCATAAACAACTTCATCAAAAGAGGGAGTGTAAAGAAATCAGGACACTGAAGTAAGCACAAGGAAGTGTTTGATAAGACCTGACTGACAACTGACTTACTGGAGGCAAATGTTCTGAAAGGAGCAGGAAGGAAGTTGTGTCACTCTGTATTATTGACTCCATACACAAAGATAGTTTCACCCTCATGAGTAAGGGCAGAGAAATCAATGACTCATTCAGGAAGTGTGTATATACCAGGTCATGTTTGTTTTGTCACCTGCAGTTCACCTGAATATCATACTCTTAGTAATCGTTTGATGTGTAAAACAGACGTAACAGATGGTTTACATAAAGTACTGTACAACCACAACAACAACAAACAGCAACATCTACTGTACATCTACTGTTCATCTCAAAATACGTTGTCCAACCCTTTTCCTTCAACTAGAACAGCACTTAGTAGAGTGCATAGCCTGGGATGGATTGACAGTACAACTATAAACTAAGGCTAAATAGATCATAAATAAGTTGAAGGCAACTTGAAATAATATGTAAACCTGATTTCTCTCATCAGGCGTGTCCAGTTGGAATCAATCATTGTGATTTTAATATCTAGTGAGTGGCTGGAATAGTGTTTGGCAGACCTAGATGTCTAACAGAAGCAGTTTTTCATGTTCATTAGGAGACACAACTTAGCAATATGAGTTAACACTGTGAGATACCACACTTGAGTGTGGCCTATTTAAAGAAGATCCCAATAATATCTGTTCCATCTGTTAGAGAGACCAACTGACTGTTATAGCTGTCCTAGAAACTGACAGTGAACATTTGTTAATAGTCTATGACATTTGTTTAAGTGTGTACAAGCATGGTTGAATACTTTATAGGGAGCACGAGACGTAATGACAGAATACCTAAAGATGGAGCAATTATCTGGTATTCATTACATTTTTAACTTCAATGGCACCGAAGTTCACAGAAGTTCACACCTCTTCTAAGGCCCAACAGCCCCCTTATGAAACCACATTTGAATTCACTAGATTAAACTCCAGATTTTTATTTTGATCTGTTTTTATGTTTACAAAAAATTTAATATTATTTTCAAGTTCTATATTTGGTTTTATCTATGTTTTCTTTTAATATGTGTTTAAACTGGTTAAACTGTAAAATAATATCTAAAAAAAGTGCACTTGCACAACTACATAAATACGCATCAGCGAACAAAGTTCAGTTTAAGGCGTTGGGCCAAAAGGTGTTTGCAGTATGCTTGTCCTGTTTGCTCACCTTTGCTCAGTAGCTAAGGTCAGAGGAAAACAAGGACTGCAGATAGTTACTGAAACACATGGAACTCAGCAGACTTCTTTCCGGACAACTGAAACTTAAAACTCTTGGCTTTCTTGACTTGTCAGTGTTGCTGCAGATGGAGGAGTTCGCAAGCCGTGCTCTGGGACGGGTAACCGTGTACTCCATCCAGGGCTGCCCACACTGTGTGCAGGCTAAGGCCACCCTCGGGCGCTTGGAGGTGCCAGTATGTGACGTGGACTTGGGGAGGCATCCAGAGCTGAGAGCAGCAGTGAAGGAGCTGACAGGACGCAGCACAGTCCCTCAGATCTTCTTCAACAATGTTCATGTTGGCGGCAACGATGACCTGCAGAAATTGGTGAGGGGGAGGAGAGACACCCAGTGAACTTAGTGCTTTTTGCTGTGTAGTAATCAACAGTGTCAAAATCTGTTGGTATTCAAATTTGTGTCTAAACTTTATAGTTTGTGTCTTGTATCTTGTTCCATTTCTTCAGGCTCCCGAGGAGCTTCAGAGATTGGTGAGTCTGGTCAAAGAGGAGCCTCTTCCAGCAGATGCTCCACCTGTGCCAGAGAAGAGCCAATCAGAGGACACAGGTGGAGAGAGCGATAGAGGTGAGAGAGCTTTTTCCACATCATTTTGTTTCCTAGTTTAAGCTGCTCTGAAATGGGTGTGGCCTATGATCAAATGTTGAGTGATAAGAAAACCCACATTTTTCCAAATAGTCCAACACCACATGATCACACAGCTAGAGTGAATCGTAGTCAGGTGGGCTGGTTTTACACAGTTAATTTTGAAAGGAAGTTAACCACGAACGGTTAGGGATTATGTAATACAGTCATATATGGACAGGTTTGAGTAACAGCATCATCATCGGGGGGAACTTGGCATTTAGGATGAACCCAGCAGCAGCAAACTGTCTCACAGTGCCTCATTATATTTGATCCCTAAGCTCCCTACTGTGTAAACACAGTTTATCTCCTGGGGCAGTCACACAGCTCTCTGTAAAGAAATATTTAAATTGGATGTTAGCTCAGATGTATTCTTTTGAAACTGATTGTCACTTGTAGGAAGTAGAGATCAAATAGTGAGTCTAGTCACATTACTGCCATTGTTGAGAGGCCACACCGGCCTATAATCTCAGCCCTAACTGCCAGTTACTTCACAATGGGTGTTAGAGAGAAGCAGTTTTGTTCTGTAAGTTGCAAAGTCTGCAAATTCAGTTTGCCCTCATATTGACATTTAGGTTCAATCTTTCAGTGTTGGTCATTTGTTACAAAAATAATTATTTCAAGTGCACACATTTGTTTTCTTTCCTGTCATGAAGGAATTGTGCACTGGTCAATCTATAAAGAAATGTATAATCTATGAGTCTATGTATGGATCTGATACCACGTCTTTATTATAGCCTGAAAGAAAATAAAGAAAGATGTGAAGCAGCTGTGTAAAATAAGTTGACCCAGATCAGGTGATCCCTGTCCCACAAAGCAGATATTTCTTTTTTTTTCTCATGATAGACTGAATTAATACCCATAATCTTTTTCCATGTGGGTTTTGAACATGTGTGTTTCTGCTTGTTTGTACATGTGTGGCTTTTATATCCCTGCCCTCAAAGAGTTTATGTGTGAGAAAGATGAGTTGGCCGACCTGGTAGAGGACCTCAAACATGGCAGTGTTATTGGCAGTCAAAGGAGGGGGCTGTCTGTTTACAAAAAGAGCTTCTCGGGCGATCAGCTGGTAAACTGGCTGCAGAAAGAGAAGGGCATGGGTAAGTACGGCTGCAGTCAAACAGGCTTTCTTTGTCATGGTTGTCTGATCTCGTAGACGTCAATAGAACAGTCTGGAAACTCTTTGAACTATCTCAAGGTGATCTTATTCATACTAAGATCTATGCACTTACTGACTGTGGCCATGTGTGTGGTAGCCAGGGCTGAGGCCTGTAGCACTGGACAGGCATTGTTGCAGAAGAAGTACATGGTCAGTGTGCGTGGCTGTGGGCAGCAGGATGGCAGTTTTGGAGAAGGGGAAAACGCCAATGAAGCACTGTACAGGCTCCTGGAGGATGACCCTCATTCAGCCCTCAACGCAGGACAGACTGCAGGCTGCAGTGTCATACCGGGTAGGTCAGGACTGGACCGGGCTGTGGGCACAAACACACATCGCACTCCAGGATGACAGCACTGAGAACGTGTCTTTATGGCGCCTCTAACCCCTCTCCCTTCTTGGCTGCTGGCTTTTGGGTTCGCTTGGGTTTGTGTGCAATGACGGTAAAGTTTATGGCGGAGCTGAAATGGGGGTTGATGATATACACGATAGTCGCTTGACATCGTTCTATGAGCTTCATCTTCTGTATGGTGACTATGTTCCAGTGTGAGCATTAAAGTCTGTTTTTGAAAATAAGAAAATAAATAACGTGAATCAGGGTTCACTTGCTGCCTCTTTGCAGAGATTTCAACTGCAATTAAGAATCATTAGATGGAGTTTGGTCAGTTGCTCGAGAGTTGTCACCATAATGACTGAAGCCAATGATATGGAGTTTTTTCTAGGGCCGATACTGATATTATAGACAAAAAAATAATTTTGATCCTGATTTTAAAAAATTGGAGTGGGTTTGATGTTGATATCAAACCTTTATGCCAAAGAAATGTACTTTAGGCTTGACATTAAGAGTTTAACCATCAACTTTATTATAAATAAAAGAAAACACAACCAAATAAATTGGAATTTAACTATGAAAATAAATGTATATTTATAAGATAAAAGCACATCGTCTCTGCATTCTTGTTCTGTAAAATAAAAGTTTTAATTTGCCACATATGAAAAGCTTGTATCATAATATAATTATGTTGATTATATTATGCTTTTGTAATAATCGTCAGAATTAAATGTCTTTGCATAAAGTATTTGCACAAAATATGATCTAGTATTAAGATATAAGATATATAAACGCAACAAAAAAGCTAAAACCTGATCATGTATATCATTCAATCCCTTTTTCAAGGCCCTGTTCTGTCAGATTACTTAAGTCATTCTTAAGTGTTGTGTTTTCTTCTGCAGTGGTGATGAGGCATATTGTGCGGCTCTGTGTTGTTGTATTTGTTACTGAATGAATGTTGCACCCCTCCAGCGGCTAACTCACAAGCTAACCTGTGCTTTTCTAAGCGTGTCAGTGTTGTTCTGCTCAACCGGTTTCCTCTTCAAATGTATCTGCAACGCTCTCTCTTCTCACAGGTTTCCTAATGATTCCATCATTTGTTCTACTTCAAGCTCTTGAATATATGAAACATTTTAACCATCTGTCTCTCTCTCTCTCTTCCTCTCAGCTGCAGAGCTCTCTCTGCTTCTGCGGGAGATGATTCTGAAACTGTTCTCTGAGCATCTCTCTGCCGACGGCAAGGTAATGACCTTGTTGACTGTGGAGGGATCCTGACTCACTGAGTGTTTTCATCTGTAAATGTTCTGTTTATGTTTGAATCTGCGGAATGTAATGTGTTCAAAGCAAATACCTCAACACACGTCATTTAAGACACAAGTTGAATTTAATGCCTCCATGCTGGCGGCAGTCAGTGGCCGGAGGCATCATGTTTACGGGTTGTCCGTCCATCTAGCCTTTACTTGTGAACACGATATCTCATCAGTGAATTTCTTCAAATTTGATACAAACATTTAGACTCAAGCATCAACTGAGTAGATTTTGGTTGTCAAAGGTCAAGTTCGCTGTGACCTCACAAAAAGCTTTTGCCTCACGAATGCATTGTTTTAAGAGAATCCTTTAAAATTTTGCAGAATTGCTAGCTTCCTATCTTTCAGACATGCACTGAACTCTAGATTATCTTCCGAAATAATCGTGAGGGGCTGTATGTGAGAACAAAAATGATGCTGTATTTCTATTCTAAGATATTTTCTGACATAATCTTACATTGTATGTTTCAAACACTGACACGTGGTGTAGTTTGTGTATATATATTGTGTATATGTGTGCTCTTACAGTCTGTGGACTACAAAGGTATGTCGGTGAACCCTGCGTTTGAGCGTTACTCTGAGCTGGCCATTCAGCTGCAGAGGGTGGAGCTGCTGTCACTGAGCCGGGAGGAGAAGCTGGCCTTCTTCATCAACACCTACAATGCGCTCGTCATCCATGGGTTCCTACGCCTGGGGCCCCCCACCAACATATGGTCAAGATACAGAGTAGGATCACACAGCTGCACTCAGAGTTGTCACACTGTTTTCAAAACCCACATATGTGTGGAAATACTTGTTCTGTTTCAAAATGCTTGTTCTGCAAAAATAATTTAAAGGTTCAGCTGATATTTCTACATGGAAATTGAGGATAGAGCTTTTTTGACTGTTTTACAATAATGACGGTATAAAATAATTTTATATCCAGACTGAAGTATTAAGATAAAACATGCATTCTTAACAGCTTGAAATAATGATATAACTAGTCCTGTTATCATAACATTGTATTTCATTTTTTAAGATATTCCTAATTGTTTATTTAATTAGATTTTAGCTCAACAGGAATGGATTGTATTGGATTTAACATGTTTGTTTCTGTCCCATATTATAGTTCTTCAACTACGTGAGCTACCTGATTGGAGGAGAAGTGTTCACATTGCAGGACATCGAGAACGGCGTGCTGAGAGGGAACAAAAAGGGTCTGGCACAGTTTCGAAGGCCCTTCTCCAACACGGACCCAAGGCTTCAAGTATTCAGACATTTTGGTCAATCTCAACTGAAAATATAACTTTCTTATATTTATATATCATATAGTCTTTGAATTTACTCATCTTTACTTCTCCTGTCGTCCACCAGGTGGCTCTCCCAAATGCTGAGCCCCTCATTCACTTTGCCTTGAACTGTGGTGCAAAGGGCTGCCCGCCTATTAAAACATACACTCCACAGGTGAGCTCCAGTGCGTCTGTCAATTTTCACTTTAATCTTAATTATCCCTTAATCTGAAGTCATTAGCAGTGAATTACAAAGTATGTGTTTACACTAAGAGCATGAATGTTAGAAATCAAGTGTGATCTACTGAACTGTTCCAGGACATCGACAGTCAGCTCCGCACAGCAGCTGAAGCCTTTCTGGAGAACGACGATGGCTGTGTGGTGGATTCTGGGAAAAGAGAAGTGCGACTCAGTCAGATATTCAAGTGGTACAAGGCCGACTTTGGAGGCACCGATGAGAACGTAGGTTTAACTCCAGCTGCTGTTTCTGTATATATACAGTATACACAGGCATCTGAAATCTCTTTTGTCTGTTATGATTTTTATTCTGTAGCATTTTAACTTTTCAGTGTTGTTTTTAATTATCAGCTCTTGTGTCGTTCTACAGTGCAAGTTACATTCAAAGTACTGCAAATTCCATCAGAAAACAAAACGTGGATAATTTCAACCTTTAACCCATCTGTTACTCTCGCTCTGTTTTGTCCTCCCTCTCTCAGCTGCTGAAGTGGGTGCTGGAGCACATGGGCGACTCTCCTAAGAAGACCAGCCTGCAGGGCATCATTTCTGCAGGCAAAACCAAGGTCACCTTCCTCCCTTATGACTGGAGCTCCAACGGCACCCACTGAGCATCTCACTCACAAACACACAACCCACCCAGCTATACACTATGTCCCTTTGCATCTGTCTACTTTCTCCTGAGCTGCATCTCATTAAACATCATGCAAATATTCTTATGCAAAACAAACTGTAAAATCCAAAGGGACGCATCTGCACTGAACTCCAGAATTGTATTTGTCTCGTACGTATATGTTTTTGTTTCAGGTAATGCCAAAAACAACAGGATGCCCAGCAAGCCTATTTTAGAAAGCGAGACGCTCAACATTTTCTACTGCAGCGGCATATTTAATATAATGAAATGCACTTCGAATGAGTCATTAACTTTTCATATTGATAAAACTAATGTTAAATTATAAACCCTAAAAAACAACACATACACACGATTAAATGATCGCAGAGAATTCTACTGTATTATGAAAACCTCAATCATCAATATGGTTTTCATGGTTTCCAGTCCCAGTCTTTAAACATCACGTCAGCAACTCAGGACCCATAGATGATCATGATCTTCTCAGTCCAGTTCAACACATATTTTATGCTACTTCACATGGAGATGATAACTTTACTGATCCAAACACTCTGCCTTGATAAGCCATATCAAAACACTTTGAAGAAACCCACTCATTCAAATGTAGTGGTCTGCAGATTGTCCACAGAGCTGGTCCAGCAGCATCTTCAGTGGTGACATCTCTGCCTTTGTGGACTGGATCCAGGCCCTGAATTAAAATACTGTGTCCGAGTTTTAAGAGACACAGAAAGATGCACTGCTCAGACTTTTGTATGGCCTGGATCTGTTTTTATCCTTAACCCCTGCTGGCATTTTGGTTCTCTCTTTTACATCATAGTCCACCCTCCCTTTCTAATCCAGGTCTTCCATTTGAAACACAGCTGTGTTTTTTAGCACAGGTATTTATGAAGAAATCTAATAATATGGTGAATAACATATGCCCAAGCTGCACCCATTCAGGATGCACTAACAATCTACATGTTTATTATCAACTCAGCTGTTTAAATATATTTGTACTTTTTCACAAAGAAAAATGTTGTCGCAATAATGTTCTGTGTTTGACTATTTATCATAGCATGTCTGCAAAACAATTCAGTTTTGAAAAATGTATTTTGTTGCTAAAATCTGAAGTAATGAACACAATTTAATGTAGCAGTTTAAGACTTATTTCTCTTTTAGTTTGTCACGTGTCAGTTTAGTTTCCACTATAGACTGTATATAAAGATGGACAACATGTCTCCATTTCCTCCCACAATCCAGAAATTAAGCTAAATTACAGTATATTTGACTACGTTTTTTATATTATCAAATAACTAATCAAATCAAAAGTAATTAGAAAAATTAACATGTGGACAAACATCAGTATGGAAAGAGCAACCTAAAATAACAGAAACCATCACAAAAATGTATTTGCTGGTCCCACCCATTAACATGGAGGAGGTGGTATTTATGGTCTATACTGCAGCTAGCTACCAGGGGGAAATCCAGACACTTTGGCCTCACTTTTGGGGACATGTCGTCCATCGTTACAGTCTATGTTTTCCACCTAAACATTGAAATTTAACTGTATTGGCATTCCATTTTACCTGGCCTTAAAACAATCAGTCATGATGCATTGTTCTGTGTGATTTCCCACAAATACTTATATATAACTTAACGGTTAAAAGAAGTGTGTGACTTTGAAAATCTTCAACTAAGCGACCTTTCCACAATTTCAGACTTTATCTCAGGTCAAAGGAAAATGTGAGTGGAAATGATTCGTTTTTGATGTCAGCACACTGTACGCTGCATGTTCCTGCTTTTTTCAGTTTCACCTCATTCTGCTCTCTGTTTTACTGTTTTCTTTGTTTGCAAAGAATTGTATCCTGTCTTACACAACTGCACATTTCTGCACATGTTACCGTACATTAGTTTCTGTCTAGGCTAAAAGCATCACCAAAGCAAAACAGTTTACTGAGCATGTGTTATAACTGGAATGCATTTGCTGCATGAAATATTGTAAAAGCCTCTCTGCTTGAAGGCCTGTCGCAGGGCTGCCTCTGAGTCTTATCAGCAGTCTGTACTTTTTCTTTTAATTCACACCGTCTGCGACAATGGACCCGCAGCTTTATTAACTGATAGACTGCGATTAACACATAAAGGGAGGACACAATGGCTAAATTGAACAGAAAAAGGGTTGTACTGTACGTCAGGGGTTTTCAAAGTCTGACACTGTCGGCCTTCCCTCAGACAAAACATGGAGAATTGCACCCCCCTTTGTCTCTTCTTTGCTTACTTGCTTAGTTTTGCTCAATACCTGGATGCAAAAAGCATCATGATTGTGCTTTTTGATCCCACAGACACTTGACATTTGAGCCAAGAAAGCCTAATATACTGTACTAAATACTTACACAATGCAGTTATTAGTTTATGACTGGGAAAGTGGGAAAAACAGGAAAATTCTTCTATACTTCTGAATTTCTAAATTATATATTTAACCAAATCACACATGTGAAGGCTACTTATAGGATAACTAATGTAACATTATGTCACCTCAGTTCACTGAGCCAAACATCCCTAAAACTGCTTAGAGCCCATGCCTCACACTTTGAAAACCTCTTTTATTTATGATATATTTTAAGATATAATTGTATTTTTTTAGAATTACCTCATGTAATAGGTGTTTGATGCAAAAAACATTGTTTTGAAAAAGCAATTCTAATATAAGCATTCTATTTTCCTCTAACCTGGGGTCTATTAAAGCAATATGTTTATGGTTAGTAAATATGCAATGCTGAACTGTACAATAAAGTCTATACTGAGTAAGTCTGCTTTCTCTTTTATCAGCTCATTACCTCCACCAAGGAGGTTATGTTTACTGTTACTGAATTTGCAGATAAAACAGTCAAAGACAAGAGCATGACAATGATAAAAAGTCAAGAATATCTACACGTAATCTGCAGTGAAATATTGCCACCAGAACTGTCCTAGATGATTATCTGCACATTTCTTGCCGTGTAAAGTGAGGGTGAAAACACAATGATATCTTAATGACACTATCTTTATGTTTTTGTCCCCATCTAATTCAGAAAGGTCGTCATATGTGAAGAGGAGACAACCTGTGAACCATTAATTTAGAGGCGTTAAACACTGAATGACATCAGATTGATCCCGGGATAAAAGGAGGGTCAGTGCGCTTGTAATGACAGTCCCGGGTTGCCAGGTTGGTGCGTGTTGTTGAGGGCGATAGGAGGATGCAATCATACAAACCTGGCAACTGTGACTATGCGCTGGTAGCAGCAGCCAGTATGGCGGACAGCGAAAGTGATTTGGAAACAGACGGACTTCAATCAGCTCTGGACTCGTTGTGTGACAGACACTGCAGCGACGAGTCGACTCTGAACAGCAAAGACTATTGCTCTGAGTTTTGTGAGGTATGTTAGACTCCATTTCGCTGCGTGGTCTACCCACACGGTGTCTGTTTATAGCTAACGCTGCTAGCTTCGCTAGCTAGCATTAGCCGCTAGACTAGCTTTATTAATGCACTTGTGTAGCCAGCTCAGAGTGAGCCATAGCCCACCTGAAACACAACAGCGATGGTCAGCAGAATGTACAGAGTCGTAAACCTGGTGTAAGTGAGTTCAAGAACTAACTCTTATATTAGCTCTAGCTGATATTTGATAATGCATAGCTTTTTTTAGCAGGTCCGTTGAGCTAAGCTAATTGTCGGTCTTCAGTTTATCTGGTGATCATGTTAACTTTCGTCAGTTTCAACAAAATCGTGGTCGTCAAACCTCACGTAAAAAATCGGACAACTCTATTTACACGTTAACCCCCTGCGACAGAAATGCTCATTTTAAAACAGTATTAACTCATAGCAACAAATAATAAATAAAGCAATGAGCTGGCTTTCGAACCCTTCGTTATTAAGAAACGCATGTTCAATGTGATCTATGCGTAAACGTCCATTTCAAAAGTCAAAAGGATTGATGCCTTGTGTGGCACAACGCTTAGAGATGGGTTTTTAGAAAACTGTCAAACCACCATCACACTGTAAGTGGGTGAAATAGTGTAAAACACATCAAGCTTGAAACAATTCACCAAGGATTCAGGGCAGACATTAATGAAAATGTGGAAATCCATTCCTCCCCTAACTTAAACCGCAATTTTATATTCAAGCACATAGATTCCCTTAATCTGTTACGTAACCCAGCATATGCTTAATGTACAGCAATGGTGGGGTACGCTCAGGTTGTCATCAAATAGCTCCTGACCTCGCTGTTTTTGTGTCCTTTATCACACCATGGTAATGTGATGTAGATCTGCTGCTTTAGTGTATTTTGTGATGTTGAATGTAGTTATTAGTGTTGTGTTGTGACAACCAGATGGTTGAAAAGTCCAATAAAATAAATGTAAATAGAGCAAGTCATGTCATAGCTCAGACCCTGTCTTAAAAAATGCAAAGCATGTGGCAGTCCGCAAAGTGAAAATGCATGTTAAGAACAGCAAGACTAAACAAACCTGATGCATTTCAGACATACATTTGTGATTACAGATAAACTTGGTGGGTTAGAACCCTGCTGTGTTATGACTATGACTTACACATTTTTTGTGTGCAGACACATCGAGACAGTTGGCAACATCTAGTGAGAAGAACTATAAGATAATAATCTGATAGGTATGGAATCAAACTATATTGAAAGTTAATTAAATAAGCCACAATACACTGTGGAGAAACTGTGGAGGAAGACTATGAAGGTTCTCTGACTCCCATGAGCGGTTTATGGACCCTGCATTTGTAAACATACCTGAAGCTCACGTCAAGCATCCAGTAGGAGAGAGGCCTGAAAGCCTCTTCCATTCTGGATGGTGAAATATTTCTACCTTTTTGGGAACAAGGATTATCTTAGTTTCTACAACATGTTCTCTCTTTGGCATAATGAGTTTCTGAGTGTAGCTTAAAGATCCAAAATGGCCCTTAAGTTTGTTCTGTCTATCCACCCATTCATATATCTGTATGTAATGTTATAAGTGTATCATTAGCACTTACAGGTGTTTAATGTTTTACAAGTCTAGAAGAAACATTGCAAGTTTTCATACGATTTCATTCCTTTCTTCACATCGAGCTGTCTCCAGCACAGGAAAGCAGCACCAGTCTGGACTTTTGATTTGCTATTTCTATCACTTAATTTCTTCTACTGAAGTCAGAACGTAACCAGCTAAACTTAGCCTGACTGGCATATTTCATCACTATTGTATGATAAGTCATTTTAGCATCCAGTCTGCCCTGACAAAATATTGCCGCTCCTTGTTTGCAAACACAACAATGGTTGAAGCTCTTGGCAAGTGACCATCATTACCACATGCTCCGTGCAAGAAACCACAGGCAGAAACAAATTAAGAGTAGCCACTTCAAATGCCATTCTGTGGTGACCAACTGCAGCCAATTCCTAAAAGATAAAAAAAACATTTTTAGTGTTTGGGTGTAATACTATGAATGATGAGCTCTCTTGTATTTTGTCTTTGTGTTCCATGTTTTTGCTTCACAGCTGGTTGAGGACTACACGGGGCAATGGCAAGTTCCTCTTCCCCAGCTGAAGCTGCTGCGGACAGCGCTCAGCAGTTTCACCAAAGCCACTGCTGCCTTCCCTGATGACTGCCAGCACATCTACTATGTCCTCAGTAGTCTGGCCTTGTAAGTCATTTACTTGGAAACTTTCATTTTGTGATGAACAGATTGGTTATGTGTTAATGATGTGTCTAGCATGTAGTGAACTTAAAAATGAAAAAAACAAAAAGAAAACAAATATCTCAGGATTAAAAAGACGTGGCATAAGTGTAGAAGAAGTCGACAAAGATGTGAACTTGGAACAACAACAAGATTCAGGGGCTTTTGACGATAGGGCAGACACCTGTGTGAATATGCTGGGAAACACAGGATTTCCAGAAGTTATAGGTTATGTCCTGCCTCCTGCATGCTCTACCCTAGCACCACCCCTCGCCTGAATGTTTTGAACATGTTCCTGCTGTGAACACATTTGACCCGGACAACCTGCTGCTGTATTATTCACATGTAAAAGGCCTGTAAATGTTTAGACCCAATTTTTATTGTTTGAGTTCATGTCTGAAAACAGCTTTACCTTGAGGTGTTTTTGACAAACAGTTTTTTTCTGTTTGTCTTGCAGGAGCTTCTTTGAACTAATGCTGTTTTTCAGCAAAGAAGAATTTGTGGAAGCTCCTTTAAAAGACATCCTTGATTCCTTTCAGGTGAGAAAAACGGACCCACTGTGAACATTGTTGATTCTGTTGTACACACAAAATACTTCTACAAGTATCTGCTGTAGCTGTCCTCAGCAAGCTTTTCTCAGTGTTGATTGACTTTAGCTAACAGCCAAAACCCCTACAACATTCAGTTTCAAACTAATGCTTTATTATCAAAATAAAAACTTCAAAATTTGCCTCTGCAACTGTACTGATTGTATTGATTGTATTGATTGTATCAAGGATCAATGATGCACAGAGGAAATCTTAGTAAACCATTTTTACCGCTGTTTGCAGGAGTGTCACTTTCAGCTCCTAAGGCACAGGAATGGCTACTTTCAGCAAGTGAAGCAGACCATCAAAGCAGGAGGCCCATGGGAGAATCCAGTGCTGCAAAGAATCCTGAAGGAGGCAGACTTGCCAACAACAGAGGGTAGGCTCATAATCACATTAAACAGCTGAGATGAACACATAGAGCTCTGCCTTGTTACGTATTGCATTCCACCCCCAAGAATATATCAAACATATCAGCAAACATAAATATAGGCTTACATCGGCTGATATTATCAGCCAACTGATATATATTGATTAGGCACTGCAGATGACCCCTAGCCCAATTTGTATGGAAATACCCTCAGATCATTTATATTAACACGTGTAATTTCCTCCCATGCAGTTGATGAATTCTTGGGTTCAGAGTTGCCGG